TGTTTGTATTTTGTTTGTTTTTCCCACGCTGCGGTTACGTTCTAGTCCAGCAGGGGGCAGTAAATGGCCCAATCGGTTACTTTGTCTCACTTCCAGCAGGAGTAAAACAAAAGGCTTCAGCAGCAAATTGTGTGTAAAGGCTGGAAAACGGTTGTGCTGTTTCTCAGCTGAATATTTAATTAACCATGTGTTCAGTTCAGCATCTCAGAGAGTTTATCAGAGAGAGACTAACTGCTGCTGCGGAGGAAATCTTCACAGAGGTTGAAAAAAACCATCATTAGCTACGAGGAAGACATCAAACTGCTGGAAATCTGCTGGAAACCTCAGATAAAACTCACCAGAATCGGTAAGAAGTAACGGAAGTCGGTTAGTTCAGGCTCCGAATATCAAAGAGAAAGTAACAATGAAATAAAATCAAGCTCTTGGTTGTTGATTTTTCTCCCCCCTGTTACCATGGTAGCTGTTAGCAACGTCCAGATGCTAGCTTTAGCAGATAGCAAAGCTTGTATCCAGTTCAGCAGCTTTTACTTTTACTCTTTGATTCATTTAGCTTTCAGCCTCTGCAAAGTGACATACAATGACATGATGATGTCTGTCAATGCTGGCTGAACCAGGTGGCCGTGGCCCAATGGCGAATCCCTCGCCGTAAACATAATATCTCTATGTCACAGATGCATCATCCGATTTGCACTAAAACTTGTTATGCATGACGTGTGAATCTCAAAAGAGCCCAAGAGCAATTTACACTTGTAGTCAAACTCATTATGGTAGGAGTTAAAAAGGTAGAGTCATTTGATACTAAGCAAACATATTTTTGAAAACTCATAAAATGCACTTTTTTAATTTGATTCAGAAATGTCTGATTGAACCCAAGAACAACTATGTTGTAATAACTGATATAGCCTGTAACTGAATTACTGTTACATTGCAGTCTCATAGTACTGTGAAGACACTGGTGCAGTAATGAACACGTTTCTCTCTACCTTGCTGGGACATTAATCCTTTAATCCTGGAAATGTTCTACAGGTGATAGAAGGTCGATTTTATAATGGTCTTCACATGAGTGAAGGTACAGGCCTGAGTCCATCACTACACCCATTTAGGCAACGTTGTTAGATTTATTTGACTTCTCACAGTTGATAATCATCAAAAAAAACAGATTGGTGCATGAGACGTTCATCAATGTAATTATATTAATGATGTCTTCATTTGCCCCCACAGACCTCCAAAATCCACATGTCTCCATTGAGGAGAAAACTTCTGCCATTCAACAGGTTTGTTTCCAGGGGATGAGGTCCAGTCATGACCAGGAGGAAGCAGAACTTCAGTGGCCTGAAGAGGAACAGATGGAACCAGAACCTCCACTGATTAAACAAGACGAACAGGACCCAGAGCCTCCACTGACAGAAGATCATTGGAAAATAGAACCTAAAGGGCCAAGAGAGGAGGAACCAGAACATCCACATAGTCGTGAAGAAAATGAGGAACCAGATTACTCACTGCTTAAACATGAACAGCAGGAACTAGAATATTTTCCAACTGGACGGGACCAGAAGGACCTCTGCAGTATTCAGCCGGGAAAGCAACTTGTCCAGAAGCAGATTGTTGCTTTTATGGATACTTCTGATAATCAGGAAGGTGATTTGAGTAGAGAACCAAAGACTGAACATCACTTTCACATCTCTAATGAAATTGAGAGCAAAGATCAGGAAGGAAGCAGCATCACTGTCTCTGAGAGTCGACCTCATACTGATGCAAAGAAAAGGTCTTTCAAATGTGATGTTTGTGGGAAATGTTTTGAAAATCAGCATAATTTTGAAAACCATTCCAGAACCCACAATAGTGAAAGGCTTTTTCATGTGAAACATGCAGAAAATGTTTCTCTCATCTTGGTAATTTAAATGTCCATAAGAGAATTCATACTGGTGAGAAACCCTTTTTATGCCAAGTATGTAAAAAAACATTTTCTCAAATTTGTAATTTAAACGTCCACATGAGAATTCATACAGGTGAGAAACCATTTTCATGCCATGTATGCAGAAAAAAATTCACTCAGATCAGTGGTTTGAAACGGCACAAGGACATTCACACCGGTGAGAAACCATTTTCATGCCAGTCATGCAGAAAGAAATTCACTCAGTTTAGTAGTTTAAAGGTCCACATGAGAATTCATACAGGTGAGAAACCATTTTCATGCCAAGTATGTGGAAAGAAATTCACTCAATTAGTTCTTTGAATAAACATAAGTCAGTTCATACAGGTGAGAGGCCTTTTCCTTGTGAAACATGTGGGAAACGCTTCTCTCAAATTAGTTCTTTAAATGTTCACAAGAGAATTCATTCACGTTAAGGAGCCATTCATTTGCTAAATCTGGAAAAGTTTACCCTAAAATTCATCACATAAATATTCACAGTGAGGGCCTTTTTAATGTGAAATTGGTCTGTAACGACTCATCCTATGATTTGAAGACCCTGGTCCAAACTGGGTCACCAGCAAGACAAGAAAAGAATAACAGTGTTGGAATAGCCTAGTCCCGGGATCTCCTTCCCTAGTCATTTTCTACTGTCCGGAAAGTTTTAGATGCTTCTCTGCTCCAACACAGATTAATTATATGATTGAATTTGTCTTCAGCATGCTGTCAACTAATGAGCCATTCGTCAGGTGTGTTGGAACAGGATGCTTCTAAAACCTGCAGGACAAAAGATTTTCAGGACTTCCCAGGTCTAGTCAAAGGAAAGACTTCAAACTTACTGAAATCCAGAGAGTTGTGCAGAAACAGATTTTTGTAAACATAAATGATCTAAAATGAAGATGGTTAGCAACTTTGGCTACTTAGCATTGAATCTCAGTTACCTTTTGTTGAATGTTTTTACATTTAGAGTTTATAATGTTACACTTAAGCATAAGGGTTTATTTTGAATTAAAATGTTCACTGACTTGAAATTTTATGCAGCTTCCATTGAGTGTTATGTTTTTAGAAAAATTGTCTTAAGGCCTTTGGGTGTTTAAATGACAGACAGCAGAGAGGCTCTGATTTATGGAAAATCAGTGTTTGGTTGCTTCAGATTATTCCCAGATCAGTTCAGAGGTCTGAACACAGTCATCACTGTCTCTATGGTTATAACTTCAACTGAACTGTATTTAATAAATGCCAACATTTGGTTCAAAATGTTGCAGTGACTGATTTATTTATTTATGATTTATTTGCTTCAGTTAGTATTTTCAGCAGTCTGGACCATCCCTATATTTCCTCTGACAACATACAGCTTAACTGTGTCAATCATTCAGGAAATGCTGAAGGAAATCAGCTGACATTGAAATCATTGCTGACTCATAAAGTGATATCATTCATCCTTCCATTTTCTGTACACCCTTAACCCTAATGGGGTCGGGAGGTGCTGGTGCCTTTTTCTGGCGGACTGAGAATTTTGTTGGTGTCTTTGTTGTTATTGATTCACTTGTATTTTAGCTTTAATGTTTCCCCACATACTTCATCCAAAGTAGCAAATTGATGCAATGAAAATTATATCATTTTGTTAGATATTGCAGAGAAGCCTTTCCCTCTAGTCCAGCAGGGGGCAGTAATGAACCAATCGGCTACTTAGTCTCCCTCCCGGCAGCAAATTGTGTGTATTTGTATTTGTTTTATCCAGCACAAACGTGCTGCATTTTGTTTCCACATTAGAATGTACACATATGATGATTGAAGGAAAGTAAATGTTAAAGAAGCAAATATTCTTTAAGATAACGCCTGTTCCATTAATAGCAGCTGCTGTTCCAGTCCAGGGCTCCAGGGGGCGGAAGTTGACAAATCGGCTTGTTTCTCTCGTTGTGATCTCAACCTGAAGTAAAATAAAAGGCAGCAGCTTGTAATGACTTAGCAGAAAGACGATTGTGTTGTTTCTCTGAGCTAATATTTCAGCAACCATGTGTTCAGTTCAGCATCTCAGAGAGTTTATCAGAGAGAGACTAACTGCTGCTGCGGAGGAAATCTTCACAGAGGTTGAAAAAAAAAAAAATCATTAGCTACGAGGAAGAGCTCGATGCTCAGTGAATAATGATGAGGATTAACTGGAAACCAGACATTAAAACTCAACCGAATCGGTTCTGGTAGGTCTGGATGAAGGTTCTGATGTGTTCACTGCAGACAGAGATCCGTTGGTGTCGATAGTTCAGTAGCCTCTGTTTTTAGCTGCTAGCTCTGATGCTACCAGGGTTGATAGCTTTGTAGCTCAGGCTAAAATGCTGCAGCACAAACAGAAAATTTGTTAGTCTCTGAAAAACCACATGGAGTTCAATTATATCCACTCATTAAACATATCAATGCTACCAATGGTCATAGGATTATTTTCAGACAAACATTTATTTATTATCAAAATTCAAACTCAGCATAAATTGTATCGACATGTATGTATAGTAAAATATGTGCAATGTGAGTCTTACCTCATTTGTTCATTGTGTATATGTTTCAGAGAAAGTATGTGTAATATAGTGGTGTGTGACCAGCTGTACCTTCAAAATGTCTACTGGCCACTGCTTTAAAGAGAGGACAGTTATCTGGCTGCTACCTGACCGCAGTCACATGTGCAGCTTTTTGATTCACATCAATTTTTCTGTTGTGGACACGTGACAGTTGCTGGGAGGACAGTTCTTCATCAGGTTCCTGGAGGTTACTCACCTCCAGGAACAATCAGACTGATGCATGAAACAGTCATCAATTTAATTATATTAATGATATCTTCCATTATTCCCACAGACCTCCAAAAGCCACATATCTCTACTGAGGAGGAAATGTCTGCCATCCCCCAGGTACGTCACAACAGGAGGAGATCCAGTGATGACCAGGAGGAAGCAGAACCTAAACAGATTAAAGAGGAAGAGGTTGACCCAGAACAATTGGAGGTTAAACCATTAGTATTAGGAGATCCATGTAATAAAGAAAAAGAGGAGGAATCAGGTTTTCTACTTATTGAACAATGGGAAGATTCTGAATTGATTAAAAAGAAGAGGATGATGCAGAATCTCAGCTGATAAATGAAGGAAATAAGGAACCAGATTTTTCAGTGGTTCAACATGAACAGCAGCCACCAGAACACGTACCAACTGGACCGGACCAGAAAGACCTCTGCGGAAATCAGGAGGGAGATCAGCTTGAACAGAAGCAGATTGTTACTTTGAGTGAAACTTCTACTCTGCAGGACGGTAGTTTGATTAGAGAACCAAAACTTGAGGAGCTTTCTTTTCAAATATCTCCTGTAATTGAGAGCAAAGATCAGGAAGGAAGCAGCTCTTCTGTATCAGACAGTCAGTCTCATATTGACTCAAAGAAAAGGTCTTTCAAATGTGACATATGTGGAAGATGGTACAAACATCAGGCTAACTTAAAAAACCATCACAGAAGCCACACTGGTGAATGGCCTTTTTCATGTGAATCGTGTAGTAAAGGTTTCTCTAAAATTAGCGCTTTAAAACGGCACAAGAAAATTCATACCGGAGAGGAATCTTTTTTGTGTCAGTCATGTGGAAAAAGTTTCACTCGAATTGGTGATTTAAATGTCCACAAGAGAACACATACAGGTGAGAAGCCTTTTTCATGCCAGGCTTGTGGAAAATGTTTCTCCCGAATTGGTAATTTAAATGTCCACAAAAGAACTCATACAGGTGAGAAGCCTTTTTCTTGTCAAACATGCGGAAAAAGTTTCTCTCACATGTGTAGTTTAACCATTCATAAGAGAATTCATACAGGTGAGAAGCCTTTCACTTGTGAAACTTGCGGACAGAGTTTCTTTCAAATTAGTAGCTTAATCACTCACGAGAGAAATCATACAGGTGAGAGACCGTTTTTATGTAAAGCATGTGGAAAAACTTTCTCTCGAATTGATCATTTAAACGTACACTTGAAAATTCACACAGGTGAGAGATCTTTTTCTTGCGACATATGTGGAAAATGTTTTAAAACAAGTTCAAATTTGAATGACCACAGAAGAATTCACACAGGTGAGAAACCTTATACATGTGAAAAATGTGGAAAAAGCTTCATTAATGTTTGGAAATTGAATTTCCACATTAAACAAAAACACTTGACTGTCACATAGTTTAACTATAGTTTAACTTTTCCTGGTAGTATTTATCTTTGCAACGAAAATTGACTAAACCAGGTTGTAGGAAACCTCTCCCAGTCTGTAAAAAGCAGCAACTCAGACCTCAGAAACAAACACCTGTTCCATACTGTGGTTGACTGGTTCACCCCTGCTATTAAGAATATGAGCATATCTACAATATCAAATAATGCAGCTTAGGGACTTGAGTTTGCCATCAAGTTTGGAAATAAAATGTCATAACCGTGTAGATGCTTTTAGATGTAGTTCAGCATGATAATGGAGGTCTTGTTTTAAACTCCTTAATTCAATTTTCTTTGTAAATTCTTTTAGAAAAAAAAGTTGGTCCATCTGTCCAGTAGCTGAAGCTTGTTTGAAACTGGGTCAACAACAAGATAACAAAATAATTATTGGGTTGGAATGTCCTAGTCAAAGACCAAACTTGAGGCTTACAGAGATAATGATGTTCAGAGAGCTGTGCTGATTTCTGATCTAAAGCAGGACTCTATTAAAGATAGTGAAAATTTCTCCATAGTAATGATGTTTTAGGTTTTATACCTTTTGTTCATATCTATAAACTGAACATCAATACATTTTATTTTATGTATGTTTTTTAAATGGGTCAAAGTTTCTGCTTTTAATTTGAATGTTTATAAGAGACTTGATTGATAGTTGACTTTCCAAGTTGAATGTATAGATGTGTCACAAAAAGTGCATAATCACAAACATATATGGCAACAAGCATTTTCCCGCCATGACCCTCAGACAGTCACACAAACAGATGTAATATGAACAGCTCACATTCCTCCTTTGCCCTGTTCACCTCTTTAGACGTAGCATCACCCCAACACTGAAAAATGGATGATTGTCACAGAAATTTACTTTATGCAATGTGCAACTTTTCTTAAAGGGATAGTATTATGTCATATAGACTTTTTGAGTTTTATATTATGTTATAATGTTATTCACTCATCAAAGATGTACCTGGACTGTGACCTTGATTCTTTCATGCACGTTGAAAAGTTTCTGCATAAGGCTTTGTGTTATCCAAATAAACCTCAGAATTTCATGAATTCCTTCTTAGTTGTTTTTGGTGAACACTTTTCAATAGCCTCTACTTTTGCATGAACAGGACGTACTCACTGGACTCACTGGATGACCAAGATAAGAGCTGAGAAGAGCTTGAGCAAGGCATTTTGCTGCATTCATTGGAGCTGTGAATCTGCCAGAAGGTCAAACAATGTTATTCCAGAGAAGACCAATACACAACAATGTCATCCAGATATACAGCACAACCCTCTAAATGCCCAAAAACCTTATTCGTCCAAAGTTCCGGTCCATTCCTCAACCAAAGAGCATAATGTATGAATTTAAACCACAGGGTGTAAAGAAGGCAGATTTTTTGTGTCATTTTAGATAAAGGGACTTGCCAATCATCCTTTCGTATGTCTATCTTACTGATAAATTTAGCATTACCAGTTTGGTCAATACAATCATCCGTAGGAGGCAGAGGGTATGAACCAGGTTTAGTTATGTTATTAAACTTTCTGAAATCAAAACACAACAGAAAAGTTTTGTCTGATTTTGGAACCAACAAACTAATTTTGTCTCCTGGTTAAAATTAGCAAGAGATGGATTTAAAACATTCTATGACTGGGAAACAGGGAAGTTACCTTCTTTTTGTTTCATGGGGAAATCAGTTTATTGTTCAAGAAAACAAAACTCACAGTCTGTAACTGGCAACAGATATGTCTAAAGTCTGAGATAAACTACACAACATGCAGCGAGACATATGGACAAAAGTCGATAAACAAATTGTGCTGTCTTTGCTGCGTCTCATTCACTGTCAGTGAAAACATTCTTCCAAGCAGAGTCAAAGATAAATGTGAATAATGTTTAAAGCTTCAAAGCCATCAAGTAAATGTAAAAGAACAGTTAAGAACATCAGTTGTAAAAGAAGTTCTCCAGGGAACAAAAAGCGGGTTTAGTTTGCTTATTAGAAGGAAACACATTAGGATGGAAGGAAGATTGAAACATGCACTAAAGGTCCAGTTCAGCTAATGCGTCGTTTTGCTGACAAGCTGCGGTTCCACTCCAGCCCAGCAAGGGGTGCTAAATGGACCAATCACCTTTTGTCTCAGTGTGACCCGAGCGGAAGTGAAAAGAAGAAAAGAAAGAAAGAAAACAGCCGCAGCTTTTGTTGACTCGTCAGAAAGACTGTTGTATTGTCCCATCTAATCTGCAACCATGTGTTCAGTTCAGCATCTCAGAGAGTTTATCAGAGAGAGACTAACTGCTGCTGCGGAGGAAATCTTCACAGAGGTTGAAAAACCATCATTAGCTACGAGGAAGAGCTCGATGCTCAGCGCAGGATGATGGGGATCAGCTTGCAGCAACAAATAAAGCTCAACAGAACCGGTTCGGAGCTGCACAGACAAAGTTGTGGTAGGTCTGGATAAGTCGATCTGCGATCAGGACTGAACACGAATTGCTTTTAGCTGCTGCTTTTAGCTTGCTGCTGCTTTTAGCTTGCTGCTGCTTTTAGCTTGCTGCTGCTTTTAGCTGCTGTTGCTTTTAGCTGCTGTTGCTTTTAGCTGCTGCTGCTTTTAGCTTGCTGCTGCTTTTAGCTGCTGTTTTTAGCTGCTGCTGCTTTTAGCTGCTGTTGCTTTTAGCTTGCTGCTGCTTTTAGCTCCTGCTGCTTTTAGCTGCTGCTGCTTTTAGCTGCTGCTGATTTTAGCTGCTGTTGCTTTTAGCTGCTGCTGCTTTTAGCTGCTGTTGCTTTTAGCTTGCTGCTGCTTTTAGCTTGCTGCTGCTTTTAGATGCTGTTGCTTTTAGCTGCTGTTGCTTTTAGCTGCTGTTGCTTTTAGCTGCTGCTGCTTTTAGCTGCTGTTGCTTTTAGCTGCTGTTGCTTTTTTTAGCTGCTGCTTGCTTTAGCTGCTGTTGCTTTTAGCTTGCTGCTGCTTTTAGCTCCTGCTGCTTTTAGATGGCTGCTGCTTTTAGCTGCTGCTGCTTTTAGATGGCTGCTGCTTTTAGCTGCTGTTGCTTTTAGCTTGCTGCTGCTTTTAGCTTGCTGCTGCTTTTAGATGCTGTTGCTTAGCTGCTGTTGCTTTTAGCTGCTGTTGCTTTTAGCTGCTGCTGCTTTTAGCTGCTGTTGCTTTTAGCTTGCTGCTGCTTTTAGCTGCTGCTGCTTTTAGATGGCTGCTGCTTTTAGCTGCTGTTGCTTTTAGCTGCTGTTGCTTTTAGCTGCTGCTGCTTTTAGCTGCTGTTGCTTTTAGCTGCTGTTGCTTTTAGCTGCTGTTGCTTTTAGCTGCTGTGCTTTTAGCTGCTGTTGCTTTTAGCTGCTGCTGCTTTTAGCTGCTGTTGCTTTTAGCTCCTGTTGCTTTTAGCTGCTGCTCCAGGGGTTCGTAGTTTTGTAGTCCAGGACAATTGGAAAATGTTTGTTCGAGTCTCCAAAAACCATTTAAGCCACATAATTCACACTCCAAAGCACTGTTCAATTAATAGAAAAATTCAAATTCAAACATATTAACTTATACTTATCATGTCGGTCACACCGCCTGTGTTCCAGACAGAAGGGGGGTTATGCTTGGCTGGGGTCACATGTGTAGCTTTCTGACTCCCACTAAGCCAGTTATAGATTTTATATTTATAGCCTGAGCTAAATCTGACCCAACTTGGGCTTCTGTGATGCATTTTTGATAAGCATATAACATAGCACAGATAATACTAAATGTGAATGCACAATGTATAATTTGTTTTTAGCTATTTATGAAAGGCTAAATAGAAAAGTAAGTACTTTATCCTGTTGAATTAAAAAGAAAACCAGTGCAGAAGTTAAGTAGATTGTAGCAAGCACAGCGCATTGCACAACTAATGCACACCTGCCTCCCAGCCCATCAGTCACACATCCTACAGGATGTTTACTGCAGTTAAAAGGTTACAAAATGGACCTGGAATATGTTAAATAATAGACCACTGTGCTAGCAGAGGTCAAGTCAAAGGTTTGGAACTATTTTAAGCTGGTAGTTGACAACAAGAACATTTATTTTGGCTTCATGTAATACAGTAAATGTGGCACTTTTGTCTCTTATGTAGGGTTTACTTCAGTTCAGGCCTCTAATTAGAGCTAATTGGCTGTGTTGGCTCTTGTTGAGATCAGGTGCGTTTGAATTGTTTTTGGTCCAAAATATTCTGTTTCAGACACAGGAAGGTTGCTGGGAAGACTGTTGTCTTTGCATTTTCATGCAGAGAATAGAGGAGGAGATGACCTGCAAAATAAGTATTTCGGCCAAGTGCAGGAAGTTCTGTAAATCCTTCATTAATGAGTTCAGTCAAGACCTTGTAGATCCTGAAGAATGTTGTTGACTCAGTCATCAACAATGCCACAAATGTTATATTCACTCTCCAAAGAATAATATAGTTTACTAAAAAAAGATCCTACACATTCTGGTCAACTTTAAAAATTGAGGTTTTAAATACTTCAGTTACGTTTATTTTGTAGGAATTGTTTGTTGCATCAGTAACTGTAACAAAGTTCACCACTGAATAAATGTTTTAAAATTAGAGGTTTAATTGTTCTTTTTACTGTAATGTAATCAGAATTCATTTTACATTTTTAAACATCTGTAACAGGGCTGCCAAGAATTGTGGACAGTTTTTCCTGAAAATAAATATGGACTACAAACTAAGTTTAGATGAACTGTGTGACGCCAACAATCTCAGATATCCAAGAACAACCAGTCTGATGCACAAATCAGTCATCACTTAAATTATATTAATGATCTCTTCCTTTATCCCCACAGACCTCCAACAGCCACAAACTTTTACCATCCAACAGGTTAATAACCAGGGTAGGAGGTCCAGTCACGACCAGGAGGAATCGGGACATAAATGGATTGGAGAAGTAAGGGAACCACGACCTCCATGTATTAAAGAGGAAGATGAGGAGCCCAAATCACCACTGATGGATGAACAGGACATTCAAGGAAATAAATGGATTAAGGAAGAGGAGGAATCGGAACCTCAACTGATAATTGTAGAAAAGAAGGAACCAGATTATTCAGAGCTTCAACATGAACAGCATGGACCAGAAGATTTACCGACCAGGCAGGACCAGAATGACCGATCCAGCAGTCAGGAGGGACAACATCTTGTCCAAAAGCTGTTTGTTGCTTTGATGGATACTTCTACTCTTCAGGATGATGACATGAATGATGGAAGACCACAAACTGAGCAGCTCTCCTTTCAGATCTTTCCTGTAGTTGAGAGCAAAGACAAGGCAGGAAGCAGCTCCACTGTTCCAGAGAGTCATAATGAGGCACAGGCACAGTTCTACAGAACCCACACATGTGGGAAGCCTTTTTTATGTGAAACGTGTGGAAAAAGTTTCACTCGAATAGATCATCTCAATTTTCACAAGAAAATTCATACAGGTGAGAAACCTTTTTCATGTGAAACATGTGGAAAACGTTTCTCTCGAATTAGCCATTTAAGGCTTCACAAGAAAATTCATACAGGTGATAGGCCTTTTTTTTGTGACACATGTGGAAAATCTTTTATTCAGAGCTCAGACTTAAATGTCCACAGACGAATCCACACAAATGAGAGGCCATTCTCTTGTCAGACATGTGGAAAAAGTTTCACTCGAAAAAGTAATTTGAATGTTCACAGGAAAACTCACACACAACAAAAAAGTTTTTCATGCCAGATATGCGGACAACATTTTCTCCGTCCTGGTAATCTGATTTCCCACATGAAAGTGAAACATAACAATGACAGCGAGACATTTGACTCTCACACACAGTTAACATTATAAATGTTGAAAGTTTTTTGCAGTTTTCAATTTGCGAAAATAAAAATGGAGTAATTTTGGGGCGTTTCTGAGTAACGCCCCAGAAGTGCATCTAAATAGCCAATCGTTAGTGGTTTCTTCTTCTTGTGGTTTTATATGAACTTCATTCAGTGTTCCGGTTTGCTGGGTTAATTTTTTGTTTGTAGCCATGATTATTTTGTTACATACCAGTGTGTTTCACTTTGCTGAGGCTGAAAGGCCTCTGCTGTCTGGTTTCATTAA